TTTTTATTTTAGTTTATTTTGGTTTTATATTTTTATTTTAGTTTATTTCGGTTTAGTTTGTTTCATATATTTTTATTTTAGTTTACTTTGGTTTTTTTTTTTTAGTTTATTTTGGTTTAGTTTGTTTCATGTATTTTTATTTTAGTTTATTTTGGTTTTATATTTTTATTTTAGTTTATTTTGGCTTAGTTTTTTTCATGTATTTTTATTTTAGTTTATTTTGGGTTTATATTTTTATTTTAATTTATTTTGGTTTTATATTTTTATTTTAGTTTATTTTGGTTTAGTTTGTTTCATGTATTTTATTTTATTTTATTTTGATTTTATATTTTTATTTTAGTTTATTTTGGCTTAGTTTGTTTCATGTATTTTTATTTTAGTTAATTTGGTTTTATTTTTTATTTTATCTTAGTTTGGTTTATATATTTTTATTTGATTTTGTTTTAGCTTAGTCTATGTATTTTATTTTATATTATTTTATTTTACATATTTTTAGCTTAGTTTAGTTTATATATCTTTATTTTAATTTCGTTTAGTTTATATATTTTTATTTTATATATTTTAATAGTATTTTATTTTAGAGTATTTTATTTTAGAGTATTTTATTTTACAGCATTTTATTTTACAGCATTTTATTTTAGAGTATTTTATTTTAGAGTATTTTATTTTACAGTATTTTATTTTACAGTATTTTATTTTGTAGTATTTTATTTTACAGTATTTTATTTTACAGTATTTTATTTTACAGTATTTTATTTTGCAGTATTTTATTTTAGAGCATTTTATTTTAGAGTATTTTATTTTACAGCATTTTATTTTACAGCATTTTATTTTAGAGTATTTTATTTTGTAGTATTTTATTTTACAGTATTTTATTTTGCAGTATTTTATTTTGCAGTATTTTATTTTGCAGTATTTTATTTTGCAGTATTTTATTTTACAGTATTTTATTTTGCAGTATTTTATTTTGCAGTATTTTATTTTACAGTATTTTATTTTGCAGTATTTTATTTTACATTCCTTGTCCCCCGTTAAATCCGCTCCGGCGCTGCCGCGGTTCCTCCCGCCCGCCCCGGAACCTTCGTGCGCGGCCGCGGCGCCCGCCCGGCCCCTCCTGGCGGCGCTCCGGGCTGCCCGCGGCGCTGCCTGATCCCGGCGCCATTCCCGGAGCCGCCGCCGCGCCCGGAGCGAGCGGGGCCGGGCCGGGAGCGCTCGGGGCCGCCGGGCTGGGAGCGGGGAGCTGGACCGGGTGGCACCGGCAGCGCGGCGGGGCCGGGGAGGGCACCGGGCCCTGGTCAGGCGGGGGGCGCGGCGCGGGGTAGGCCCCCAGAGGGGTCCTTCGGCGACGGGAGCGGAGGGAGCGGGACGGCGGCGACATGAACCTGGAACTGCTCGGTGGGGACGGGAACGGGCCGGGAACGGGAATGGGGCTGGGAGTGGGACCGGGAAAGGGGGCGGGAATGGG